ATGTAATCAGTTTTTGATTTTCTAAGAACTTTCAGTTTGACCCTCGTATCAATTACAGATCGTATCAAGGAGTTTTTGAGTTTTAAATAAAATGACGCACTATAATATTTATTTGTTTTACTTCTAATCCAACCAATTACACGGCTGATCGAAAGTGAGCCCGTTAATTGAATGGCGTCAGTCGATTAAAGGACTAGCCGCCCAATTGTTTGGATGTTTATACAACTTGGCTGGGACATATCAATTACATCTAGAATTAACGAGACTTTCATAAATAACACTGAACGAACTATTAAAGACAGTCTTCCTAAAAAAAAAATCGAAGTGGTTTTGGCGGGAGTCCAATTAATAAGTTATTTATTCGAAGAGTGCTGACCGAGCCAACAATTTATGAACAAGATTCTTTAATAAAATTCAATTGTGTTATAGCGAATAACCTTTTATTTGTCACCGAAAGAGCGGGGAAATACTTTGTTAAGGTTAAACGGATATGGAATGGCGTAATGCCAAAAAATACACATATCAGTATCTATGGAACTAGTAAATTTTATGCGTTGTTATTGAACATAATTTTCCTTAACAATGTTTACAATTTGCTTGATATAACGGATTACGCTTAGATATTATTACAAATCTAACAGCTGTCTGCTTGAACTTGATAAACTAAAAAACGTTGAGGAAATCGAAGCATAGAAATAGGGATGTGCATGGGTAATAAAAAAAAATTGTAGCAGGCTCGCAACCAGGCCACCTCCAGAGTATGCTAGTGAACCAATCAAGAGTGCGGAGCGGCACAATTGCAATGTCGATAGTCGTGATTGCGTTCGATTACCCAACCTGCCCTCTTAATCTCGTAAGAGTTTGGTTTATATTAAGCACATTACTGGAGGAGCTTGATATATTAATTTAGTATATCAAACTGCGTAAGGTACACCGATGCGGGTATTATCAGGTGGTCGAATCACACTTTGACCTTGCCCTTCAGGGCAGGTCCTTGTGGTTAGGAGAGACCCCTGGCAAAAGATGTAAAAAAATATAACCTTTATTTATAAGATCACTCGGTTGTGTCTGTTGTACTAGATAATTTTCTCCAAAATCACTGGACCGTTTGAATAGAAATTTGGTAGTCATGTTTTAAAATTTTCAAATTAATGTTAAACCCTCATTGCCCGAAAAAGGTTCGCCGTTGGTCGGTTTTTTATACTTGTAGTGGGTTTAAAGAATAAAAAGGATGTAAAAAGGCACTACAATATGTATAATATATTGAACCTTTAGCTCATTAACTTTCAGTTAAGAAAGAGTGAGCGGTTATCTCTACGTTATTTATTTACTAAACTAATTGCCAAGAACTAAAATAAGCCATGGTCCGTGACCGGGTGGCGGGTTCGATGCCCGCTTTGCTAGCAACACTTGACTTGTATATCTTTATGTTCATCTTTATTTAAAGGTCTTCAATATCGCGATCGCTGATTGATTGACGATCTCCATAGGTGTCATTGTTGCTGCAGTCCCGGGTTCAATTTCGTATCGGGTCAATGTAGTCAATGAACTATTCTAGATTATCCCTCTAGGTGTTGTGTTAAGATACCATAAGTTAAGATACCATCTTAGTTTCTTATACTCCATTATACGAGGACTTAGATGGTAGGAAAAGATTAATTTATTGCCAATATTATCATTTTCCCGACATAGTTTCACGAACCGATGGCATAGAGTTTCGACTTTCGAAAATGCTTGTAAGAGCATAGACTAAATAAATGATTTTTAATAAGTATTTGATATTAAACTACTCAGATTTGGTTCGTTGACCGCTACGTGATATAAAAAAATTGGAGAGTGCAATCACACTTAATATAAATATTAATATCGCGCTGCGCCTACGCATCGAGATTAACAATAGCAATACATTGATTGTAACGATTGATTGATTAATCCTTAGCTAGATTTTTTTGTTACAATGACAAAGATAGGCAGTCGCTTTATAAAAACTAATAATATCCACCAAGTATTTATGTGAAAAAATGTATTTGTATAAAATATATATTTTTCACAGTACTTGATTTTGTTGAGGATATTATTGGAAAGGAGTGCCAGTGTTTTTAATTCACTCAAAAAAGAGTGTATACCACTGAAATATTTTAGCATAGTAGCGTAGACAAAGGGATAACAGCTACAACAGTTATAATCAAACAAGTAATAATAGTGACTTTAGAGATAGAACGCTTTATAGTGTGTCCACTTATCAAGCACCATATTCAAGGTAAAAACATTTGTTTATCAACAAAGTTGAAGCAACCTGTTGCTGAGATGCTGTCTGCATTTTGCTGACAAAAATGTGCGTTGTGGAGTTAAATACTGCATGTTGTGAATAGGCCCTCAGGATTCATGTTAACTCGTACGAAATTTTTATGACACCGCCTTTATCTATCTGTTATAAATAAAAAGTCAATAGCTTTTAAAATTTAATATTTTTATGAAGTCGTACGTAAGACCACCTCGCACACAGCTACTGGTTTTCTTAGTACGTTCCTGTGCCAAACTTTTATAATTTGTAATAAACGCTCTTCAGTGTAAAAATCTTTTTCAAGAATAATTACACAAAAAACATTAGTTAAACAACAACTCTTTGTAAACAGCATCAATAAGCTCTTTCTTCGGTGTTGAAAGTATTCTTTGTAAAACTGTTATTTGGGGACGACGCTCCAACTGGACGAACCAACAGATTAACCTATTTAAATCCTCCTAATGTTCTGATGCATCTAATTATAAGAATATTTTGGTAACATACTCACACCATACCGAATTTAGAGTGAAGATATTTGATATTTAGTTAACGAATAGTTTTTACCCACAATATTCATATATTGTAAATGTAGTTAGTTTTGAGTCTAAAGATGTCCTTAATGGGTGGTTGATTAAAAAATGCAGAAAAACAATTTACCTACGATGTCATTTGAATTGTATTATTATTATTTCCTAACTGAATTAAAGCCTACAAAAGCAAAGTACATAAGTATATGATGTTTCAGAAAAAGAATTTTTATAATGTTGTTACTATCAGGTTGGCTAATAAATAATGAGCGACATGAGTAACTTAATTTTTTTTTATTATTTATTCATGAAATAATAGCTAATTATTCTCAATGTAATCACCGTCGTTATCTAGCAGATTGGATTGCGTCTCTGTAAAACTTTGCCGGTTTGGATTTGAAAAAGTCATCTATGTACCGTTGTAGCTGGAGCTCATCATGAAAGCTTTTTCTTGCAAATTATTACTAAATGAGCGGAATAAACTAAAATCTGTTGGCGCTAAGTTCAGTGAATACGGAGGATGTGGAACTATTTCCCAGTTCAGATCCAATAGTTTCTGTCCCGTACTCTTAGCAATATGATTATGCGGTCGGCCATTATCATGGAGGAAAAATATTTTTTCATGTTGTGGACGCTTACGATGAAGTACAAGCTTCATATTATCGGGTCGATTACAGTTCACGTTCGCTGTGATCGTAATATTGGTAGGAAGAATTTCCCAGTATATTACTCCATGCACATCCCACCGTACCGAGAACATCATTTTGCGAGGATAAAGATCTTTTTTTGGCATAGGTTTGCCTGGTTCGTTGTGGCCTAACCACTGGCGCTTGCATGGTTTACATACATAACCCACTTTTCGTCTCCAGTGACGAGATGTACTAGCCAGTTAAATATACGACGAAATGATAACAGATGTACATATATCTCTTATCTTATCTGCACGGTAAGCGAGTTGATCCTTGGTCAGCTGATGGGGTAACCAAACGCCAAATTTGTAAGACTTTCTTAATGCATACAAATGATTTTCAATCGTACCATGAGATCAACCCAGCTCTACAGCTAAATCACGTGTGCTGCGTCTAGAATCTTCTTCAATTAACGTCTTCAGTTCATTTATATTTGTTTCTATTGGACGCCCAGACCTGAGTTGATCAACAAATAGTCTCCACCGCGAATTCGTTGAAATTAATGCAACTACATTTAAAGTTAACGCTCTTTATATACCCCCCGTTATAGAACGTTGTCGACCCTACTCAAAGTTTCTATAAAATAAAAATTAAAACGCACATTACTTATTAGCCAACCTAATATTATTATCAGTTTATTTCAAAAGTTGCCTGAAAGAAATCACTTTTGGTGATTAGGCCACCAATTGTACCTCTCAGAAATATTTCATTTATCTGATTTTGTTGCAAACCGTAATACCTAAATATACCGTACCATACCGTAACACCCAAATAGCATAATTGCAAACTTTACTATCCACGAATTATAAGATTACTATATAATAATTTTAAGAAACTCGTATAAAAGATATCAAAATCCCCAAAAGAGCATACAAAAATGTGTAATAAATACACCACTGGTCAAATATTTAAATAAATAAGAAAATAATGTAGAGTCATTACGTCAAATAATAATGCTTCATAACCTCTAAACCTCTAATATAATCTCTAACCATAAATAATTTAGGTAAATTATACATTTTATATGATCTATTATCTTCGTTTGAGCTATAGCCAACCTGGATATATAAATCGACATTGCGAAAAGGAGTTTTATTAGATCTTTCCGACCAATAAAATCTAAGTATAACGAGTTCAAGGAACAATCGCTTTAATATTTAGTTCTGGAAGTTAGCCAGCCGTCTCGTCAATATTCAAACTACTCTAGCTGCCGATACTTTCGATATTAACAAAATCAAAATATAGTATATGTATAAAATATTTCAAGTCGGTAAATTATTTGTAAGTTATAATGTTAACGTGACATTAGTGCTAAATTCTTTTATATAAAAATATTATTCAGTATAATAAACAACAATATATAATATAACAATAGCATAAATAATGGCAATAAATAATAAACTCAAATAGAATACTTTTGCACCCAGTATTTCTCCTTGCGGCACACCGTCACATTGTTAAAAGCCTTCTCTAATCCTAAAAGGAACAGAGTGAACTTACCCAACTTACAGGGAATAACTTATAACTGAGGTTTGTGAGGAACGCTTTCTTTTGTGGATCATACATGTCTGAAGGTTTGAAGCCACGCTTCGTGACCAGGGAACTGTTCACGCTGGACGATGAATTCACATCATTGTAGCTGTCCCGATGGATAACTCTATCATTGATCTTGTGGATGCTAGATCTCTTGTTCGATGAGTACTGACTTTCACTTATGGTCATCATTTTGATCTTCCAGTTTTTCGACTTCAAATAAAACGATCACTGTTTTTTTGTTCAAGCTTCTATGCGCTTGTTTTATAATGTGTGAATGAAATTTTCAAGTGTACCTATCTGTAATTGATTTTAGTTACTCAAAAGCACATAACTGGTATTAAACGATAAACAATATATTTGTAACTAATTTTTAACAGTCCTTTCTGTCATTACAACATTTAATTAATGTCGGTTATTAAGAATGCAGCACATAAAGCTGTGCCAACTTTGATAAGATTTATTGCAAATTTGAATGAACAAATTATATTTAACATTTAAGAGGAATTGTATGTTATATTTTCGATGAATACTTTTTCCACAAAATATGTTAGTAGTAAACAAAAATTAATGATATCATTTCAAAGTTTGGCTTTTCTAGAATCAGTCTGATGATTAATCATCCTCTGAGAAGCCAGTGATAGTTGACGTACACCATTTGTACCACTTTGCATATATATCCAAACCACATTAAGAAAAACAGATGAAAAACAATAAGAGTGCAGTATTGTTTTCTATTACAATGTGTTTAGATTCAAATTGGCGTGCACAATTTACTAGCCAACAGCAATGGTGGGTGGCAAGTACAGAAATAATTTTGTCCGAATTTCAGTTGCCGAGCGAAGATTTTTTTCCAGTGTTTACGTGATCTTTGTGCTGTATGAGTAACTGTTTTCATTAAAAATGTTTGTCTGTTTCCCAAATTTTAGACGAACCACAAAAAAACTACAGCTAGTTGACGCATATTTCAGAAAAAAGCATCACATTAAGATATTTTAAATATAATGATTAAATGTTTTATATAAATGCAATTACACCATCACAAATTATAATCGAATGATACCGTCGCCCACAAAAGGTAAACAAACAAAAAAACATTAAATCACTAACTTTTTAAAACACCACCCACTATTATTTTCAATAAACTAAAACACTTTTCAATTAAAAAAATAAACACCGTTAAAACAATTCCACTCCTCTTCTAGAAAAACACAGAAAAATGAACCGTATTTTGTGAAGAATAAGACCGGATATTCAGTGAAGAGTGGAGACATGTACGCTTCGCGGGCAGTTTTCGGACTAACTAAAATAATTTCTGAAACGCCATTGCATAATACGTAGAAAAGCTCCGCCGTATTTGCGGTGGCAATTTTTTAGGAATTTTCTTGGACAAAGTTAATAACATAAACGACACTTTTGTAGCAATTCAAGCGATTGTATTTTGAAACTTTTGGAACTATTCTAAAAGAGAATTAAATCATAATAAGGAACAAATAAAACTGATTAAAATAAAAAATATTAAGGAAATTTGTGATGTTGGGAGGAGGAAGGAGTTGAAAAGTAGCTTTTTAGGAGTAGGTTCCTAAAAAGCTACTTTTTAACTACTTCTAAAAAACTGTCATAAAGTGTTAAATAATAGCGAGGTGTTAATGAAGCTTATTTTTCTAGGGGTTATAAAGGCTCAATTATTATAAGGTGTCTAATCTATACTTATATTATAAACACGAAATAGTCAATTGTTTGTTTACTCATTTGCATTGAATAGGCTCGAAATCACTGGAATGATTTTAAACATTCTTCCTACAAGAAACTTTGTCATACGCGGGTGCCATTAGCTATAACTATGTAGGCGAAGTAGAGGGAAAACAACTAGATATTATTATAAAATATATAAGAATACTTAAGCTGTGTTCCTGCCATTTGCACAGGTAATTACTATTCCTACTATTTATATTCAAAACTATTCCATGTAACAACATAGGTACCTAATTCTTTAAATATTGTATAATTAGTCGTATTCGCATTTTCAGTTTAATTTGTGGTAGGAATAAATAGTTATACATAAGAGTTGAAATTGAGTGGAGATTTTTCCTTTAACTTCTTTATTCTTCTTATCTTCGTTTTTAATATTGTCCCAAAGTCTTCAGACGTGTAGTCACAGAAACAGTTGTATACTGCCAAAGCTAATTCCGTCGCGCGGTCTGCGCCTGTTTCGCCATCGGCTGCTGCTGTTTACTGTTCGCTGGATGGAAGTGAAACCTTCTTGGTCAGAGTAATTTAAAGGATTTAGCCCTTTTTGGAGAAGCTCGAGGGTGGTTGCGTTAAACGTTCAACTATTTGGACATAAAGCCCGATCATTGGAGCTACTTCTTTTCTATGTTTACACGTACTCCAATAGGGGGCATGAATAGGCTGATGATAATACACTGGGTATACCTTATACCTTATATTGTGTCTTTTGAAGTACGGAAGGACTCGCTTAATTGTTTAAGTTACCTATCCACTAGAAAATTCATTATATCATCGAGTTCAGACGTAAGAACCACCATACCGACAAGTTTTTTACATAAATTAAATCTATGGAAAACTATACATAAGTATCCCTATTCATAATAAAAAATATAAAAAAAGATAAAATAGTGGATCTCAGAATCAATATCTATATTAAGGTGACATATGAAATAATTATGGATAACAGTATCTTATACAGATGTGTATAAGACGCTTAGAAAAAACAGTAAGTGACTATTCTGCCATTTAAATAACAATCCTTAAACTAAGCTCTACGAAACTTATCTGAAATAACTGACTACAGCAGGGACATATTATATAAAAAAAATATACCTGTAGAAACTCTATTTTGAAAAACAAAAAAGATTATTAGTCGATACGAAAGTCAGGTTCTTTTTTAAAACAGAATATGTTCATGCGAAAACGAGTGAAATAAGAAAATCGTTGAGTTGACATGTAGGATGACGCCTCAGTTTTGTACATTTTCTACAAAGCTGTGACGTATCAAGCCCTCATTCATCAACAGTCATGTGCCTATTATCTCTAAATGATACAATAATTCTTTATGTACCTACATACTCGTACATTAAAAAAAAACATTAGTTTGAATTTCGAATATTAGCTTCTACGATAAAAAACGAGACTTCTTTCCCGCCATTATTATATGTTTTTTATTTAGATATTATTTGTTTTGAAAATGGACTGGGGCACTAAAGAGAATAGGATTGCAGTATTTGCGCTGTCCAAAGTAGGTAAGAAACCAGCCGACATTTTTGATACATTGAAAAGCTAGGGATGAGCCGAATGTTTCTATCGTACCATATAAAGATACACTGAAACCGTGTCTGTTGATGACCGAGAGAGATCCGACCGACCGCGGTGTACTTGAACAAATCAGGCCGTTAATGCAGTCAATGCCAGAATTAGTCGAAATCCCAAAAGGAAGCAGAAGATTCTTTCCAGAGAAATGAGAATCCCATCGAGGACACTTCCTCGGATTATCAAACAAGACTTAGGTCTAGGGGCTTACCTGAGATACACAGGATATACCTAAAATCATGCACTAAAAATGTCGTTACTTCGATACGCGGACGAAAAACACAGAAAAAATATTTTTACCGATGAAAAAAATTTTACAATCGAGGAGCAATATAATAAACAAAATGAACGAGTGTAAGCACACAGCTCTAAAGAAGGTTCTAAAGTAGTGGCCAAAGTTATGTCATACGTCATGGTTTGGTGGGGTGTCTCCTACCAAGGAGTTACAAAACTCCATTTTTGCGAAAAAGGAGTAAAAACTTCAGCCAAAGTGTATCAAACAATACCTTATTCAAAAACGAAATGTGGACATTCCAACGGGATTCAGTCTCGGGTCATAAGGCACGCACTACCCAAATTTGGCTTGAGCAAAATGTTCCAGAATTCGTAGAGGCTGATGATTGGCCTTTGGCTCCTTTGGACTTAAAATTGTGGTCTGTGCTAGACGATATGGCCTGCTCTAATCCTGCCGTTTGACGTGCGACATAAGTATTATACTCTGACAGACGTCCGTGGAGACGCCCTAACCGCTTGGACCCAACCAAAGGGTAGTCAAAACCCCAAGTAAGTTGCTTGCACATCAATCAGAGCTGTAAGGAAAATTTCAGAACCGAAGTAATCGAGCGCATTGAATTTTCATGACACATCGCGTTGTGAATGACATGACAGGTGACATTAAATTTTTGATGATTCCGCTCATTGGTCAGGTGTCCTCCTTTGGCGTACAAATATTCAACCGAAAGACATCCACTGCCCGACATAAACCCCCCACGCAATACTTCAATGTTGTAGTCATTTCAGGACTCTACTGTACCAAAAGTCATCTGTCCTACGACCTATGTGCCTTGTCCATTGCCACTTCAGGCTCACAATCCTTCGGAATATGTTGGTCTCTTTAGTTCGCCCGCGAATCTCATTCAATATCGCAAAGCAATTCCTTCCGAGCACGACCTTCTCCATTGCCCTCTGAGAGACTATGAACCTATGTAATGGGATCCGATGGTTAACGACTACTTGATAGAATTCAATATTTGTAAATTATCAGACATACAACGTGGAAACTCGAAACATCTGGACCACACGCGAGCAAAAATCCCTGCGGCTATTTATTTCGGAATCAAGAATAATATTCAAAATCCAACGTTAGTATTTTAGTAATTCTATATTGCACATAGTGTCGAATCGCATTCATACTAACTAAAGTCTTACGTCAACAACGTGGACACTCGTGCCAATACCACGTACGCACGAAGCTTTAAAACAAAGTAAGCACAAAACAGACTAATATCACCCTTATTTATTGAACAGAAGACACTTCATCTCATTTCTGCTGCTGTACTAAATCATAAATGTGTTTACGTTAGTAGTGAATTACTCGGTGATGTGTATAATAGTGTATATTTGAATCATCTTTTTAACGCAAAGTAAATTACTATTTACTTGTGTAGTTACTTCGATACTGCAAAAATAATAAATGCTAGACCACTTTATTTATTAAAATCGCTCTTCACCTTAGCATGTCTTCTAAACTCTCCAAATCACGCAACTTTTTACTGTTAGATAGGGAATTTCTCGAGCTTTAGTGGGGTCGCTGGTTTAAAACAAATGCCTATATGAACACGCTCTTTTATACCCATAAGAATTGGAAAAACTATCCGAAATACAATACAATATCAAAGCTAGTTTAAGTAAATATTCAAATTAAAACTAATCATTCATTGCTGCTTGTACAGTTAACGGCACGTCAGGTTATACATATCTATCAAATTTCTCCACTTGATTTTAAACAATGTTTTGAGAATAGTTTAAAATTAACTGTAGGAATTAGATATATTGTGATACCCTGACGTTCAGATGTGTGTAGGTACATGTTGATTTACACCAGATTTTTTCTTTTTCAATAAATAAGAGTTAGGCTTCATATTAAAAAAAAGTGAGATATAATACTAACACCCCGTCTCAAACCATGCTTTAGCCATTTTAAACGTCATTTAAACAGGTTTTCTTTACTGATTTATAATTTTTTAATGATCAATAGGGATGATGACTAATTTTTGTTTGTTTGTCCGTCAGGTAGAGTGTTACAAAATATTAAACACGTATTTTTTAATTTTTTTCGTCATCATAAAATTATGGCGTTACATTGAGTTGAAAGAACAATGGCCATCTGCCTAACATGCTTGGACTAGAAAAATCGAATAAAACGTAACTTGATGAAACATATGTTATTTTGTTTGCCTATGCAACTAGAACAAGAGAGACATTAAATATATTTTTAAAAGCCGGGAGTATCGAGTAATTGTGTAATATGTTTTTGAGGTTATGTCGTATTATTTAAACTGTATCGTTTTGAGTTAGAGGTATTACAGTTGAAATATGTAAAGCACACGTCAGATAATGCCTAATCGTAGTCCTAGAAGTGCATACTTTCACTTAATACTTCAAACTTGCTGCATATCTGATATATTATTTTTATTGAGTGTAAGAAATAAAATCATTTTTTGTGAACCAACGAACATCAAAAAAATAATAGAATTTTTAAGATTGCTCTCAATAACTCTACTTTGCTATCTTACACTATAACTTATATAAAGTAGTAGTGAAAATACTAATTTCAAAAGGATATAGCAAAACAACATGTTGATTTTTCTTTTCTTTATTACAACTCTAATTGTTGGTATGCTCGACAAAATGAGAATAATTTATATATTTGGTAATCACTTTTATTTATTTGTTAAACAAAAA